AAAGGGTCATCCAGGTTTTTATGTCTTTAAGACATGCTTGTAGTCTAAGTAGCTGATTGGATTCATTGGGTTTAATGGACAAATATAATTGTGTATCATCAGCATAACAATGAAAATTTATCCCGTCATTAAACGGGGCGGAGCCTCCGTGTCCAAATGTCCCCCTCCTACAATGCTGTTATTTTTAGCATCACTCAGCCCTCTGTGAATAACAAGCAGCCATCAGGGCACTATCGATCAGTCGTTCGGCTGATGGTCCTCCATCATCATGTGATGCTAGTTCTGGATGTCAAGAACTAATTGGTTGATCCACTTTTTACTTTTGGATGAAAGACGAAACACTTCTACATTTTTTTTTTGTTTTGTTTCTTGAATGTCCAGGACCAGATTTAACTTTTCTAGATTTTTTTACCTGGATTATTGAGCAGCTTCAGGATATTTCAACAAGAAGGATCCTCCAAAGGACCTGACTCAACCTGGTTAGATGTCGTTTAATAACTTTATCTAATGGAAGCAAGGTACAGTACAGTTCCAAGCACTGAACCCTGAGGAACTCCATGACTGCATTCTACGGTCAAAACTATAGTTTGAAGTTTTAGTAAAGCCAAAGTTAAAAGTATAAGAAACAACAGTTTTAAAGTTATATTTGATGTATTTAAGGACTTTGTTAAAAGGAGGCCGTTACAATATTTGTTTTCCTCTGAGCTTCACTTTAAAATGGCCTGAATGTTCCTTTAAGAGTGGAACCCTAAAGAGCGGTGGCCTGATGGGTCCAGAACTGAACCCAGAAGGATTTTCTCCCACTCATCATGTTCTTGTTGCTTCCTTTAAGGCGGCAGCTGACCTCTGACCTCTGACCCCCCCCCCCCCCCCATCAGAAACTAAGAAAAGTCAGAGCGAACGTTTAAATGTTTAAATCTGGTTTATTGTTTGAAACTTGTGGTTCCGTCTAGCTCCAGGGGGAGGCCGGCTCCAGAGGCTGCGTGGAGCCCAGAGGGAACATGGGGGGCGTCCTCAGCGGGCCATACCAGTTGTCGTGCTGGCGCTGGGGGGGCGGCTGCGGGGCCACGCTGGGACAGGGGCAGCGGCTGACCGGGCCCGCGTGGCGCTGGTACGGCCCGGACGGCAGCATGGAGGGGAAGCGGGGGATGTGGGCCAGGGGCTGGTGGTAGTACTGCTGGGTCACGCTGGACGGTTGGACGTGCACACCCCCCAGCAGTGCACGGTGGCCCGGCAGGGCCCCCACTGGGAGGACCGCCTGCGTCGCGCGGTCCTGTTTCCGCTGTTTGGCTCTTCTGTTCTGGAACCAAACCTGCGACACAGAGGAAGACGATCAGGTTCTGGATCTGAACCGGACCATGAAACAAGTTCTGGAAACCAAGTCCAGCTTCACCAAGAACTGATCAGGTTCTAAAAAGGACCCAAGTCTGACCTGAAGGGAACTGATAGAATGAGTTCTACTGAGTCATCATGATTAATCAGAACCTGGACCCAGTCCTGATCCAGCAGATTCTAGAACCTCAAGCTTCTCTGTTGGACTTTCTCCCTCTCGTGGTTCTGGAGGAGTTCTGGCCCACTTTTCTTTCCAGCGTTGCTTCTGCTCAACTCTCTGAGTTTCTGGACTCTGACTGGACCACTGGACCTTGGTTCTGTTCTTCCTGACTCGTTCTGTTGTCGATCAGCTGCTGTTTGGGATCATGGGGTTCTGTTGGACCCCAGAACCCTTTGAGTTCTGGTCCACTCAGCGACTGACAGGAGCCCTGCACCACCATGCTGACAGCTGTTTGCTGCGGTGCATTCTGGGTAAACATCTGTCCTCTGCTCGGGTTCTGTCATGCTGCCACGTTGTTTTTAGCAAGAAGAGGTCATGACCTTTGACCTCTGACTGAGGCCGGTAGTCACTGCACGGTCTGACCTTCTGGGTGAATCAGCTGTCTGAAATGTTCTGTGAAGAATCTTCTGCAGAACGATGGTCGGAATGACCTTTGACCTCTCTCAACAGCTGTTTCTCTGAGGTCATTGCTGATATCTTTCCATCTTGGTGTTGTGTCAGCTGTAGGGTCCAGAGCAGCTGAACCTCTGAGGTCCTGTGGAAGCAGCAGGACTGGACCCAGGTTTTATCAAATGGACTTGGTGGAACCTGGTAAAGACCAGAACGGTTTGGTCCTGAAACCTGGACCTGAAGGAGGTGGACTTGAGTTTTGTAAGTCAGAACTTGTGAGACGAACCTGGCCCACCTGAATGCGAGCCTCGTTGAGTCTCGTGACCCGGGCCAGTTCCTCCCTGTGGTACACGTCGGGGTACTGGTTCTGACCGAAGGCCCCCTCCAGCTGCTCCAGCTGTTTGTGGCTGAAAGTGGTGCGGTGCCGTCTGCGGGCCGGGGAGGGGTAGGCCCTGCTCCGCTTGGCCAGGCCTGCGGTCGCGGAGGTCTGACCCGCCGCCCCCGCTCCAAGACCTCAGGAGGAAACAAAAACACATGAGACGGGCTAGACCAGGTCTGAGACCACAGTCCTGCTCCTGGTTTCTGAGCCCGATACAAAAAGAGCCGAAACGTCCAAGTCCAATCCACCGATGGACGCAGAGAAAAGGCAGGGATTACCGGGACTCTCTGGTTCCCAGAACCACCAGGACACCTGAGAGCCCAGAGCTTTAGCTGCGAGACACAAAGCCGTGAGAACCAGAACCAGAACCTGGATCGGATTAAGACCACCACCAGTGACTGAGGGACAAACTGACAGAACTCGTTTCGTTAAACGGTTTTCTGTTCATCAGTCACTACATGAAAACAGCCGAACTTCAGCTGTTAGTTTTCATTCTTTCACAAGAAGCCGAAGCTTTAACTGGAAACTAACTTCAAATGTTCTTTAATGACAAAATACACCGTGTACTCTGTACTATGTAGTACTACGAAGTACTCCACAGTATACAGGTCATTTTATGGAGTATTTTGGTGCAGCTCATTTTATTAAATATTTTCAGAATCATTTTTTTATTAAATATTTTCAGAATCATTTGATTTTTTATTAAATATTTTCAGAATCATTTGATTTTTTATTAAATATTTTCAGAATCATTTGATTTTTTATTAAATATTTTCAGAATCATTTGATTTTTTATTAAATATTTTCAGAATCATTTTATTTTTTATTAAATATTTTCAGAATCATTTTATTAAATATTTTCAGAATCATTTGATTTTTTATTAAATATTTTCAGAATCATTTGATTTTTTATTAAATATTTTCAGAATCATTTGATTTTTTATTAAATATTTTCAGAATCATTTTATTGAAAGTAACATTTGAAATTTGCCTCGGTGCAACATCTATAGTTTTTTCATATTAAGGTGTTCTGCTGTAATTTAGCGGTCTGTATAAAGAACCACTGCAGGACCATCTGACTGGACTCGAGTCCGGTTCTGAGCACTTTAGGAAGTTCTGGGTCGGACTCACCTGTGCTGGCGCTGACCGTAGCCACGTCAGAGTAAAGTTGGCTGTAGTCCTGGCTCCTGGCTGGACCACCGGCTGCCTTCACTTGGGCCATCTCCGCAGCTTTGTGTGGACTCCCAGAAGAACCTGCATTCAGTGGCCCATGAGAAGCCCCCGCCCCCCGGCCCCCCTTCAGGGGAGCCAATGGGAGTCCGTCCTCCCCGACACCAAACAACCTCTTTCACCACGAGACTGAGAAGTTCTTTACTTTGAACGGTGGTCCTCATGATGCTGGGAGCATGGCGCGTTCAGTCAGGAGCACCAGAACAGAAGAGTTGAAAATGAGTCTGAATTAAGAAGCAGGTGAACACGACGGGCGGATGCTGCTGTTCCACAGAAATGTGTTAGTGTGACACTGAAGGGGCAGAACTGTGACATTACATCACTTCCTGAACTGTTAACCTTCATTCAACCTTTAGTTTTCATTAGAAAAGCTGTCACTTGTCCTTAGTCCAAACATCTACAAAGCAAACCTTTTCCACAGGTCAGTCTTCGGTGAACCGCACCTTTTCATTTCCACTGTTCTCAGATCGTGAGGTTCAGAACTTGTTCAGTTCTTCGAGACTCTGGGACCAGAGGAACTTCCTGCTCAGATCTCGGCAGCACCAGGGACCCACGTCCAGAAAACAAACTGTGGAAAACAAGCTGCAGTAATTATTAGATGTCACTTATAAAGCCCTTGAAAACAACCACAGCGCTGTTCACGTAAAATCAAGAGTTTCAACACATAAAACAGTTAAAACATTAAGATGAATAAAAACAATTAAAACCGTGCAGAACAAACTCCGTGAGAGCTAAAAGCCACGGAGTAAAACGTGTTTTTAAAAGTGTTCAAACTGGACCGTGAAGGAGCTCGAGTCATGAGACCACGGAGATGGTTCCAGTCTGGAAGCTGCAACAGACAAAGCTCCGTCTCCTCCGAGCCTCCGTTTGGACCTGGCACCTCCAGGAGCAGCTGAAGAGAGGTGACCCCCCCTCACTGAACAACTATGGACCAATCTCTAAACTCTGCATTTTAGCCAAGGTTCTAGAAAAACTGATAAACTCTCAAATCAAAAATGACCTGGACTCATTTAACATCTTACCTCCACATCAATCTGGTTTCAGGAAACAACACAGCACAACCACTGCTTCACTGAAGGTTCTTAAACAAGAAAACAGAACACATGGAAGAGTGTCCTGTGGATGTTTTGGATATTTTAGGTTGAGTCTATGAGTCTGAAGAACAAACAGCTGTTCAACAGAAGACACTTCATTCAGGACCTGTGCTCCATCCGTGATTATCTTCATGTGTTTGGGTGGACGGAGAGGATCCTCTCTCCCAGTGACAAAGAGCTCCATGGTTCCAGATGCAGCTGGTCATTCTCCTGCACATCCTGCAAACACCAAACATAAAGAAATGAGGACAACTAAAGAGTCAAAGAGGCAGAACTGCCGAAGCACAACGGTCTGACAGTGTCTTTACTTTCTGAAACTGGACAGATTGACAGCTGGATTACAACAAGAAGAGTTCTCAGTTCAAATGAATGTAGCTGCTACAATAAAGAGTCATCAAAATATATTTGTTTCTCCCACTCTGGCATGAAGTTACTTCAGTTTGAGCCCAAATTCAAAAGACGAAAATAAAGAGTGTATACCAAGAAGAAACAAATCAGTGTTGCATTTCAAACACAACAGGTGTGTGGGTGCTGCTCGTGTTGGTGCATCATATCTTCTCACCTGGAGTTCTTTCAGAAGATGCTCCACAGGTTCATCCAGCTACATCATCAGAGCTTTAAGGACAGCTTCTCTCTTGATGGTGATGTCAACAGTCTGAATAAGAACAATTACTTTTAATTAAACTCGAACTCACACCGACACAAAACAACTCTCCAGCTCTAAATCCCACTGAGGCTTCTCATCACCACCAGCTCACCCAGCACTTCCAGTAGGCTGCACAGCAGAAACTAACTGGTGGACGCTTTCCTGAAGCTAAAAGAGAAAACACTATTTAACACAGAGTATTTCTAATTTTACATTAAAAACTATACAGTGTAAACTAGAACAGAATATTGCATTATATTCTTCTACAATCAGAGTGGCTATACCATGACATGACATGCTAAAGGCTTTAACACACGCACACACACACACACACACACACACACACACACACACACACACACACACACACACACACACACACACACACACACACACACTGTGAT